AGGACTACAGGACATCGACAAGTAAAGCAAAGCGCGATCGCTCATCGAGAGTAATAGGGTTAGTTAAATGTGTGCTGGTAGATCATATTGAGGCATTTCATCAGGGACAATAAGTCATTAATGGAACGTTGGTGCATTTGCATCTTTACACTACAGTAACATAGCCACATTTGCGCCATGCATTCATGATTTTTTCTTCCGAAATTTCGTTCCAGGCTGTGATGACACACTCCAACACAAATTTCACGTGATGGAGATGGAGCAACAGTGTTACCTGGCATGTTTTCCGAGGTCCACATCATGTATAATTGACGAACTTGGTCCTTAAAAAGTTTGTTAATCCCAACATCAAGTGGCTGCAAGACACAGGTGAAACCACCTATCAGTTAGGACAGTTTCACATCGTCAGAGATTTATTCAAAACAAATAATAGCAAATTACCAGGAATAATTTCGAGTTCTGTTCCTTGATCCGAGATCATATTCGTGAAATACGATTGCTTGAGGAACTTGCAGTCGTCCAGAATAAATAACGACGAGTCGGAGCCCGGGCAAATTGCTTCCAAACTTTCTTCACTCACAACTCGGTGTTTTTTTCGTCCATCCATGCAGTTTTTTGGCATGTTGCAAACACACCGTCAGGAAAAATAGCCGGCAACGTGGCCTCAATGCGAGCACTGAAGACTCCCTTGAACACAACAAACGGTGGCAGCTTTCGTCCCGAAGCCGTCACGGCCAAACATACGGTGATACGCGGGTTGTTGACGAGCAGGTACGCACGGCCACCGTCTTGGAGCCTCTACGGGCGACAGTGGTGTGAATCTTTGGTTCAAAATAGACAGGTGTCTCGTCTATGTCGACGACATGGTCCCAATTGAGGCCTTCCAATGTACCAAATGGCACAAAACGTTCGCACACCGAGGCCAAAAAGTTGTTTCAAGGTGGAAGACAGCTTCTACCCTTCGTGCGTTGGACGGCGGAGGCTCAACTTGTTTTGGCGCAAGAACTTGTACACCCAAGATGTGAGTGCCTTGGTTTTGCAGCCATGAAAATCAGGGTCAATGTTTCGAGCCTTGAGCACCAGCATCATCGTACTGATGACAACGTCGTGTTCACGTAGATACTCAAAATACTCAAGAACTTGTGCTTCCACGTCAGAGCGGGTAACTGCACGGCCAATTTGCGTGGAACTGAGACCGGGCGACCGCGCCACGGCAACCTTCAGTTTCTCGTGGTCGCAGACCTAGCGGAGTACTTGGTTGCCTTGCACGCCGTACTTTTTAGCGATCATGTAGACGCTGGTGCCGTCGCGAAGGTGCTGATTCACCACGTCGAGATTTTTCGTGACGGTGAGGTGCAGTCTTTTGCTGCTGGTGCGAGGCATCCACAAGCTCGCACGACGTGACCAAACAAAGACTGAGCGGGAAGTTTAAAACTTTAGTTGTATTTCTATCCAATCACAGAGTGCCACCCATGACATCCCAGAATTGGTTTTGTCGTTGTCTTGCACCAAAAACCTGATCTTAAATCCGACATTTTTCATGGTGCAACAGTACGACAAATACGGAATTTGAGTCGGAGGTCTTACAGTGGTACATATAGGAAAAAGAAATTTTTCGTGCTACATCGAGTTCGTAGAGTTCTTGACCCGGTTTGCTTCAGTCGACAAGGCTCACATGATACCTGCTTTGTTTAGTGGTTTAGGATGGAACACAATCTCCATGGCCGCACAGGGCATAGCGCTTCATCGGACTTGAAGCCAAGAAGCGGTGTACACCGTGGCGTCGCCGTAACTCCCTGATGTGTTCACTGTACACACACAAGTCAGTCTTGTGCACGGAGGTCATGTGGATTGATTGTTCTTGGACAGGTTCATGAACTTGGTGGCAGCACGCTCATCCACCTTGAATCGTATCTGTGGTCGTCATTCGAGGGCTTTCAAGAATCCATTCCCTGTCCATCGCACGAACAGTCTTTGAGCAGAGGGAAAGAATGCTGGCTTCTCACAGGACACAGCTACCCCGGTCGACGTGGCGATCATAAAACCCATAAGAAAAAGAGATCACAATCGTGGCGCAGTATTCGACTTATTTGTGACGCTTCGACAGAACCCCGCGATCAGTGAATCCGTCGGTGCTTTCGGCCGCCCGTTGTCCGTACGCGCCACTACCAAGCACGGCGCCATACTTGGCTTCCGGATCATGGTCTTCGTCATCGTCCACTCCGCGCTCTTCGTTGACATGTTTGAACACGCTTCGTTTGCCTTCGATTTCCGCCGCCAACGTCGCCGCCGCCAATTCTTGGTCGGCGGTGCCACATGGACGTGCTGTCGTGTACAAGTTTTCGTCAAACGCAGACTCCACCCCAAAGAGACGGCGGTTTGCTTCGAACTGGTCCCACTTCTTGGTGGACCCAGTTTTGCTCGACTCATTTTCCAAAGCGCATCCGTCGTCGCCGTCCTCAGATTCAGGACACCATGCTTGTAATGCTCTTCCGATTAGCTCGCCGCTGGCCGCCGCGGCGCTCGGGGGGGCTGCATTGAACCTACTCGATGGCTGTGCTGGCGTTGGCTTTGTTGAGGCATCGGGATTCGCAGTACGTGTGGCCGCCGAAGTTCTCTTGCCCTGTGCCGTTGGACCGCCCTTGGTTGATTTGTCCGTAACCACGGGCACCAACGGTTGATATAACGGTTTCTTCTGAGGCGGAGGGGAGGTCGGCAATGGTGGTGGCAGCGGAACATGCACCACTTTTACTGTTTTCGGCGCTGGCGGTGCTGGAGTAACCTCCTTCTTCTCGCGCTTGCGTGCTTGAATGTGTTCGTGCAGCGCTTGCAAACTCGATTTCGGCCACGTCTTCAGTTCGTCTGTGTGCAGCGCCTGGAAGGACGCACCTTCGTCGAGGAGGAACTGGATCGCCAGTACTTGGCCAAACTTGCAGGCCCACGACAACGCTGTGTTGCCGCACGCGTCTTGCACTTCCAGATGCGCCTTTGCCCGCAGACCTTCCTTGCACAATTTAGTGAGCAACGGCATGTGTCCGCACCCGGCAGCAGCCATGACGAACGTCGCTCCGGTCGTCGGGTCGATGAAGTGTCCCAAGTGCTCGAGTGTTACGTCACTCGACTCGTAGTTCTCCAACGTGGCCAGCAAATCGTCGACAGGGCCAAAGTCGCCAGATGCTGTGTCCTTGAGCATTTTTGCGAGCAGGCGGTCGCGATGGAGCGTTCGAATGCGTTCAGTTTCCTCAGGAGAGTCCGAACATGCGCTAAGGAACTCGAGAAGGAGCGCGTTGGCCTTGTCCGTGCAGTGAAGTGCGCTTTCCTAATGCAAATTGAGTAAGCTTACATATTCCGATAGCAGCGATGGTACTTGACAACCATGCAGCAAGCATGAAGGTTTAATATACGTACAATGTCGCCGAGCTCGTGGTAGATTTTACTCATTTGATGTAACGCGTCGGCGATAAAATCATGGCGATTCGGCAAGGGTGTCAGCGCCTGACCAACACGATTCGCATCTGGAATATCGACGGCCGCTTCAATGGCTTGACGGACGCGACCGTACGACACCAATGCTCGACGAAGCAGGCCGAGTTTTTTGTACGCAATCGCCATGTGCGCATGGAGGGGAAGGAGCCAGTCGAGGATCGCGGCGCCAGCTTTGCCGGGATGTGCAGCATCCATGACGACGATCTTCTCCCATGCTTCGACGGCTGGCTTCCAATGCTTTCGCGCGGCATGGGTGTACCCTTCCTCATACAGTTCCTGCACGTGCGAGGGGGCAAACTGAAACGAAAGTTCTGGCAAGTTGACGTCGGAGTCACCATGGGCAGGGAGATCGAAAATTGACCTTGTGTGGTGGGTTGCATTCAGCGCCAGACTTCTCGCCTTGGCATGAAGCGCCTCCTTTGTTGCGTCCAGACGTCGCTGGGCCGCAGTCTGTCCCGCCACAACAAAGGTTGTCTTTCGAGCAGCTTTCTCGATTGAAGCTGTGTTGCGTTCCGCGATAGACGATGGTTCACCTCCTCCTCGAAGAGACGTAGCCTTGGTCAATCCAGCTTTTCGTCTCGCCGCCTCAGGGGCAAGACGCAAGAAGTCATCATCAGAATCCGACGAGTCGGAGCCGTTCGACGCATTATCGTCGTGACGGGTCATCGAAAGGTTTGTTTCCATGCCACGATGGAATCGTACAGCGGCATTGGATTGGCCAGAACACTGGCATCCCATTGGTCAGAACGATGCCTCAATCGAGCGGTCCAAGGTGGAGATTGCATTTGGCGATGTGCGATTGGTCCATTTCATCCGGATGATTTTGGCGATGACCGTTTTTGGTTCAAAATTGAATTTCGGAAATATATTCGTAGCAGTCTGCTGAACTGAGATCCTAACTTTATTTGCTTTCCCATGTACTCCAGGGATGTATATGTATGCTTGACTTTTAAAATCATTCAAGGAAATTGATGGATAATATGTTCCAACAGGTCAAAACGTCGAAAATATTGGGATGAAATTATCCGGATGCGCTGAGTTTGGACGGGAAGTACCGAGTTTGCGGCGAAGTCGGCCATGGAAGGCGACGGACTCGATGACTTGTTTCCTCCGCAAGAGGTCATGGCCCAATTCGATGTCTTTGAATCATCACATGGAGAAAATATGGAGCCATATATTCCAGAGATCCATCATGAACGAGTTGATGTGGATCTCACGCTCCCAACAGACACAAACGACGACCCTCCAAAAAAGCGTTCACAAGATGCACCCCACGACACGTCGGCTACGAAGCGGGTGAAGGTCGGTGACCAAGAGTCAATCAGTGGTGGAATGCCACAAACTGGTAGTTCTTCACTCGCCCGAGCCTCGCCTCGTATGGAGACTGTGCCGCTTGTCCAAAAGCTGTCGCCACTTGCGATTACATCATTACCTCCCGAATCTTCTCCAGAAACTGTCTTCATGGCAAACATCGGGTCGCGGAGTGAAAACATCGTCCATAAGGATGTGCATAACGAGGACATTTCGATGACCGCATCACCTGTCGCGGTTGGTTCATCTCCGTCACAAGACCCCGAACGAAACATCTCCAGCACTACAGTTATCCCCACCAACAGCGAGAACGAGCAGTCGTCGACCCTCCAGAGAAGTTCGAAGCAATGCCTCATATGCCGATCGAAGAAAGGGTCAGTCGTGCTGTGTGTTGGCTGCTGGATCCCTGTGCACACGGCATGCATACAAGGTCCCCGCTTTCTTCGCCACTTGTCACCATCAACTCATTTACTTCGTGGATATATTTCCAGGCAACAAGTATTGCGGCAGTTGCACCATCGCCCTCACGAGTCGCCAGGTGGATCGCACCCTTTCAGACAACGAGCCTCGGGCTGCCGCGGTACTTTCTCAAACCCACTCCATGCGGTTGTGACTTCGTTGTGGTGGCGGTAGATTGCGCGGGGCATAGCCTTCTTGATCTCGATTACTTCCAACTCGGACAAATTCAAGCTTGTGGGCCACGTGGCGGCCCTCCACCTTCACGAGCTAGCAGCGGTGAGGCGCCAGTATCAAGCCTTGTAACATAACTCGTCGTCATCCTAGAGCGCATCGCCTTACGTCAAGCAACTCGTGGAACAGTTAATTCCAACATATTCCCGGGTGCTGTATCTCTTGGCATCGATGGCGCGAACTCATCCTGCAGCATAGCAATGGCTCACGGCGACTCTCATCCAAGTCCAATCGGACATGCTGAAACCTAAAGACATCGTGACTATCATAGCTGGTTTGGTCGGGTGCGTGGGACTCAAGGTTTTTCTGGATTTGTTTCATGGCCTTTCGTTAGACTGCAAAATGCGCACATGTCGAATGGCGTTGTCGGCGCATTGCGAGATCAAGCACTCAAGTACACCGTCGTCGACTTCTTGGGGTGGGACCCCAAGACAGAAGTCCCGGAGAAAGCCAAGTTCGCGGCCTTGTGCGGGGCCTGCGGCCTTCGCCCTGCACGAAATGCCTCGAGATGTTGCAATCGGCCGGTCACGTTTCCATCCGTTTTCGAACGCTTTCGATCTTCGCTGGTCGTGGCATGCCATGCCGAACTTGTCGGCGTGCCGATCGGGTGCACGCTTCTCGAAGTGTTTGCGCACTGGGGCCGCCTTCGCGAACTCTACCTCAAGCGACCGATCTCGATGTTCGACCAAGCCGTGTACTGTGATCAGTGGAAGATGATTTGTACGGCGCTCGACATCCTGAGTGCCTACGGGACCCGCCGCCTTCCCTTGCAGCTGCTCGAGCCCGAATTCAACATTCTCTGCAATGTCGACCAACTCGAGCGATGGCTGGAGTACGGCAACGTCGATATCTTTGGCCTCGCCCTGTACTCGCTCTCGCTCTTTCCCCCTTCGCCAAACCTCACTTCTGTTGTCGAAGTGTGGCAAGACGCCCTCGTGCACAAACAGGACCCGTCGCTCGGATGTTGGGTCGTTCAAGCCGAATTCCTTCCCCTGGTGGACATTTTGCGCTACAAAACGACAGTGTCGTGCTTAAAGTACGTCATGATTTTCATAAGGTGGCTCCAACGAATTGACTTGTACGTCATGCAGAGCGTTGATTCCAAGGCGACCGGTGGGTTTCGGCCCATGTCACGTGGATTTCTGGGCGTATTTGCAAGAATGGGCACGTCACAAGGCCATCCCCTGCGAGATCACTACGTCGTCGCGGCGCTTCGGCAACCTCCGCGATCTCTACCGAGTACATATGAACCTTTCTACGTGACCTTAGTGGTGTTGCTCATGCTTGGTTTGAACAGGCGCAAGTCGTGACGGCAGACATCGAGTCGAATCCACTCAAGGCAGCGGTCCAAGTGTACTTGTCTAGCCGGACCAAGCACCAAAAGCATGAAGGCTCAGCGACGACGGCGGGCGTCCATCGCGTTACGTCGAAAGGATGGGCCCGGTACTCGCGCGAAAGCGGGCGGCACGACACTCCTATCGCAAATACGGCCCTCACCATGAACGATCTGTCCATCTTTGACGGGCTCAAGTTTGCCGATGGGGAAGTGATTGACTTGTCCCAACCGAGCGGCCCCACCAGCGCCTCCATGGAGGATGCAGTCGATGTCGAGGACGTTCTTGACGATGACGACGAAGAAGATGACGATGAAGGCGATGGCCACGACGTTGTCCAAATCGACGCTCCAGATGGAAAGGACGGTCCCGAGGATTTGGAAGAGTGGGAAGTTAACTCATAATTCCGTACGTTAACGCACTGGAACTCATCTGGTCGGCGGGTTTGTCGCCAGGTTTTCGATATGATACGGGACGACGCACGCGATCGAGGCTGTGGTCAATTTCTTCACTTGTCACATCCATCAACGCGACCAACCCATTCCATGCCTCTCGCGCCTGTCAGCGCGTCAGCTTGGATGAGAGATGGGGATGGACGTACCCTGGCATGGTACTCGCTGTTGGTGGTCGCCAGTGCCAGCAGGGATTGCTTGAGCTCTTCGGTTTTACCCAAGTACAGTCTCTTGGCTTCCACTTTCAAACTGGTCGCGATAAAGTCGACTTGTTCTTTGGCCAAGTTCATGCGGTCTTCCGCCTGCATCCAGCAAACCACATGACCGATATTATCGCGAGACGGATCGACGAGCACCCACCGACACCATCTTTTGCTCAGCAATCATGGCCGACGCGGCAGCACCGCTGCTCGCACGCGCTGCCGCGAACCGTTCCTTATTTCGATGCATCGTCGCACTCGCTTGATGGACTTCCTGGATCGCTTGCTCTCGATTCGTTAGCACTGTCTTGACCGCGCCGACTTTGCCAGCCAGGTACCGAATGTTGGACACATACAGCGCCAGGAGCTTGTCGAGCTCGTCCTGGTACAAGTTGGAGACGGCCTCAAATACTTCACCCGCGTTGCCGACCAAGTGACTCATCGGCTGGTCTTCTCTTTCGTGGACGGCCAGCGCCGACAAAAATGTGCCGCACCGAGACATTTCGTACCCCTGGGATCGTCCTGCAGTGTACACCACGTCCGAACAGCGCACGAGTTCTTCGATGCGACTGCGATACTCGTCAATGTGCTCTCCGATCTACAAATCGAGGTCATTCTCCATGCGTTGACGGCCCTTTCTTGGACATTGACAGAGAGAGAGATGGGGTACTTTTGTGTAATCTTCGTCCGTCTTGATCTCCACCACCTGCTGCACCGAGCTGACAAAGAGCGAGTCCTTCATCGAACTCCACAAGCCCGACATCGTCGACGCCTTTGGGACGTACGCAGCGACGGCGGGGGCAATCGCCAGAAGTTCTCTGCCGGCCACGAGGCCCTACATAGCACGCAAATAAATTATCAAGACAGCATGACAAAGCACGACGCACTTCGTTGTTGGCGGTGAGAATGATTTGCACCTCGAACGCAATGGACAACTTGTCATGATTGCACACTTCGTTCTACGACAGCCGTATAAGAATCCGCAATGCCTCGAGCACACAAAGGATGGACTGTGACCCGTACAATAAAATGCTCGAGGCCTTGCCGCCTCTCTTCGACAAACGTCGCGTCCATGTTGCCTGCCCATCGCGGTTAAGTGCCAGAGAGACACAAGTACTCAATCACGTAACCCGTCCATCGTTTCTCAGGTATCGGAGGAATGATAGTGCCTGAGCAAGTCATTACAAGGTAAGCGACGTCGGCCAAGATGTGCTGGAATCGCACCACGGAAGCGGTCCGTCAGTCGCTGGTGCAGCCATTCGAAGTCGCTGAATCGACGGCGAACTTGACAGAACTTGACAGGGAACGACGGGCTATTGGCCTGCGCTCCGTGCAGCCGTGAGGAATCATACAAGAATGAGAAATGGAGGGATGCACACCGTTGTTGACACAACATATTGCGTGAACCGGTTGTAGCTGCTGCCGACAACAATCGGACTGCTCACAGCTACCTTGAATTGCTTCTCCTGCATGGATAGCGCGGCGGCATCGATGTCGTTTGGAATCTAAGAGCCTTTTAGAGTAGTCTAGGACAGCGAGGTGATCAGCTCACCACGTTGTCCGGTGGCCCTTCCAAGTGAAAGTCGGGGAGCGGGAGGGTGTTCATGGGATTCACTTCGTAGAGATATTGCATCTTGCATTTGCCCGTGCTTTGAACGAGCGCGACGAGTTTCATTGCGACGAACCAGCAATCCTTGCCGAGCCGATCCTGTGACTTACCGCCACTCGCCAACCGCCATACCTTCATGAGAATTACATCAGATCCACAGGGAATTCATCCTCCGTTGCACCTCTCGATTGGCATCGTTGGGTAGCGCAGCGCGGCGAATGAATGCAGCACCCTCGGTCCCGCCAACAAATCCATCGCCGTCGATGTCCACCTACACGTCGCGCATGGATATCCCGGAAAGATCCCGGCGCATGTCATATCACCGTACAATGTGAAACAATTTTGCAAACAAGACGCCTTCTTCGGCGCGGAACTTGATGGGGCCGCCGACAAAGTTGAGCACAAAGTCCGTCGCATCCGCGGACGACTTTAGCTCCATCGTCTTGGAAGCCTCCGGACGTTGGATATGGTCGGAATTCTTTCGATTTTGAACTCTGATTGGTTAAAAGGCGCCTTTTCCGGATAATTGCTGAATCATCCGCTTAATATGTGAGGTGTAGGATATATAAATTGAAAGTAACTTAGTTTTCACTTTTTGTATCTCATTATGGAGTATAAATTGAATAAAGCACGATTTGGGCACATGGGTTGGCAGTCATGTTGGAGCAGCGGACGACCAGCGACCGCTGTGAAAGGCGACGGCCGTGTATCTCGAGCTCCGAAGGATGTGGCTCTGCGGAAGCTGTGAACACGTCTTCCCAGAGCTCGGTGCCGGTGTCTATCATCCTGGCTCTGCGTTGATGTCGCTCGCTGGCAACAACCGTCCAGAATTGTCCGTATTCGTCTCGCGTACACAAACTGCTTCGGCATGACGAACCTGTTTGATGTAGACGATCATGACTCTTACCAACTCATGGCTATGACGCTCAAGGAAGAACGTACGACCTATTTTGATGCATCTTGGTGTGCAAAGTGCAGCCAAACTAGATCGCGTGTGCGTGGGTAGTGCCGAGGGCATTACATGTGGGCCGAGTACGGAGCAGCTTGCTGCAGGTGGCGGATTCCCTGACACCTTGGTCCATAGGACGTCTTGTACAGGATGCGACTGGGAAACGGATATTTCCGAGGACCTCCAGTACGCAATAGAAGCCATGGAGTTCGGACGCTGCTGATGTCACCACGCGTTGTACGACGCAATGGCGGGGACTGCCTCGACGAAGTCGCCAGAGGTACATCGAACCCGATCGCGCACGCAGCCGATCGGTCGCTGTTTTGCGGGTCAGCTCGGGCTCCGCATCTTTCCCGTGCTCGTCGTGGATTGCGAGCATCCATTGCAAACTTGCCCTTATTCGATCTCCGCGACTGCATTTTTCAACACGGCAGGGAAAGCGGCGGCCCGAATCCAGTGTCTACCTTGAAGGGTTACAGCGCTGATGTCACTGCGTTCTCGCCGGACGTATGGAACGCGTCCTTCAACAGCGTGGGGCCATCGTGATACATTCTTAGTTACGGTGAAATGTATGCGACGCTAGGCCAAGCGCTTTACCGAGACCTGGTGGCGCAAGGCTTCCTAGGGTACCAGCAGTCGCAGCACCCCCGGACGAAGGCGCAGATTGAGGCCGAAGAGGACGACCAACTCGAAGCTCTGCACTGGACCGACGAGCTCTACTCTGGCAAGTCAGTGCTCTTCATCACGCCAAGCAGGATCGGTCGACCGCACGTTGTGTGTCTCAACAAGATTTCGCTCGCCATGACCATCGGCCTCAGCTTTGCGCCCCTGATGGTGTGCTCGACGCCTCCTAATCGCAACAAGTAACATTGTCACGGACATTGCCCCCACTTGGGGCCGATTTCGAGTCCAAATCGTGCACTTTTTGGCTTTGAAACCGCGATTTGGACCAAATTTCGGTCCAAATCGTGGGGTTTTCGACGTGGACCGCCCAGATTTGGACCCAGACTGTGTGCAAAGTGTACGGGGTCGTCGTCATACCTCGATCCGGCAATGCGAAATCCCGCTGAGCATTTGCCGCATCCAGTGGCTCGATATGACGGGTGTGAGCTCGTTCCACACTACTCCATGGACCATCCATGAAGCGCGAGATGCCACTCGACAGGAACAGCTCATTGCGGTGCTAAACGGCCGTGTTGGTCTCGACCAAGAAGGCCAACAAGCGAGGCTCTTCACGTGGATTCAGAACTCTGTCGGAGCCATGTTCTTGGTCATGGACATGGTTGATGCAGTTTGCTCTCGCGGTTTTCATTCCAGTCACAGGTATATATCTCCATCGTCGTCTGTTCAATTGCTTTCGTCGATTGAATGGCTCGCATGGTAGCACGGCGACGCAAGGCTCCTGCGGACAAGAATGGGGGCTTCACGAGTAAGCAAACCGTCGACCGACGCTCGTAAAACGAATTCGACGCTATGGCCCCTCACAGCGCTGGCCGCACACATTATTCAGAACCGACCAGAAGTTGTCTCGTTCCACTTGGCCTCCCATGAAGGCGAGGAGTCGCAAAACGGCAGACGCTACGTCCTCAACTTGGTTCACCAACTCATGACCGAGCTACCGGCATACGCCAACAAGTACTCTTGTAAACGCCCCCGTCATAATCTTGTCCCCTCGAAGTAGTCTCTGGCAATAGTCGTGCATGAACTGTCGTTTCCTCTGGACCACGACCATGGGTGGCTTCCTGCAGCAAAACTCGCAGTTTCCCGATCTCGACAAGTACAAGGTGCCACCACCACATTTTGAGACCATCCATAATCCATTCGCTACTGACTTGTCCAACGGGTCCGCCCAGTGCTGGAAGTGGTGTGCGCACGAACCGCTGATGCTGGACGCCTTGAGTGCTATCATGCACTTTGACGTACGTGACCAGCGTGTGCTTGCTTGTTTCGGGATCCGTTGTTTTCCATGATTCGTAGGTGTACCAAGCCCAGAAAGCCCAGTCGAATTGTGGGTCGCCCTTCCATCTTGCCGAAGGAGAGGTCATTCTCCCGTTCGACTTGTCCTTGCTGAGCTGGCTCATGGACTCGCGAAGTGCCGGCGAGTATTTTGTCGATGTCGGGTGAGTGGAAAAATTCGAGAGAAATCAGTAGTTGATGGATAGGGTTGCCCTGCACGTAGCACGGGCCACGAAACGATCGGGTTGGGGTGCTGCGACGAGTACGAGAGCAGCGTGACCAGCGGCAATGACATTTCCAAGCTCGAGGGCATCTTTCCTTCTTGGCGCTTTCGACACAAACTCGAGTCATCGCAACGCAAGACGTCCACGCAGCGCATGCAACTGCACATCGTTCGCCACGCGACGAACCACTTGGAGGTAGGTATTCGCAGGGGCTTGTTGAAGAATCGAAGATTCTTTCACGGCTGTCGATTTTGTGTGGGGTTAAAATCCCACAGCGTCAAGGTCGAAGCGTTTGAGAGCACTCGAAGGGGACGACGCACAACGCCTTGTGTGCCAGCATCCATTCGTTTGTCGTCGTAGCTTGCGATGTCATTCGCCTGGGTGGCTGCAGGCGCATGTAGGACTCCAAGTGCGAGCATGCATTACACCATGTTGAACTTCTCCCATGATAGCACCGTTTACCAAGTGCACACCACACCGACAGGCGCGGACTTGGCCTTGCTACTCGAACTCCCGCCCGTCGTTCCATTCGATGTGCATGGCATGAACTCGAGGGGCCGTCGTGGACTCCATGACGTACAGCAGCACGTGGCGCTGCAGTTTGAAAACGAATCCAACCTTTCGAGTGCCATGGCTGGCGCTTCCAACTCGTCCTCGACGATTGCAGTAGAGTTTCAAAAGATCGGGATCGATAGCCAAGACACTCTCCATGCCGTTGATGATAACCGCCTGCAGGTCGTCGGACATGGGCGACGAATGCACCACTCATGGCAGCTTGATGCCATCGCTGCATGAAACGCGGTCCTCGCGATTGCCAAGCACAGATTCGACCATTCGATGGGCCAACGTTTGCGTGGCCTGTTCTGTTCGATGGCCGCATGGGGATGCCCGGTTTTTACGGAGCTGGGAGTTCGTGCCGTGGAAGCGCTGCGACCGCAGCACTCTGGCGAAGTATCGGCGGCACACTTGACGTCGGACGCTAGTTTGGCGCATGGGGGCGACTAATGGCTTGACTTGGTTCGTGCAATAAACCTGGCCGCGTTGGGCAATTGCGCCTAGCATCAAAGCACCCTACGTCACATGACTCTGAAAGCCTCGGCACCATGCCGCAAGGATTCTTGTGCGTGAAGCAGCGGTTTTCGGTGGCGACGGATGGCCGACAGCGTGGCGATTTGCATGCATTCAATTCGAGTGCACCCCTGGGCCGCCGACGACACGCTTGCGGGGCACACGGCTGGAACCTCCATTGCGTTGTCCAACGGACTGGCTACGCCCGATTTGCCATGGTGGTGAACGCTTGCGTTGAATTGAAACCATGTAACAGGTCGACTTGACGAACGGACTCAAGCGCATGACGCGCAAGACGATGGCGGCGCGGCGATCAGCAAGCTGGGACACGAAGTTGGAACGCGCATCTCGGTGCCAACTTTTTGTCCCTGCTTGCAGATGGTGACCTCATCACGATTCTCGTAGCTAGGGGGAGAGGCTGGCCACCTCGACATCACTGCAGACTCGTCGGCGCTGTCGTTGAAACTCCATGTCGATTTCATGGCTGGTATGTGCCACAAACCCACGAGTGGCCCACGTCGACAATGTGCTGCGAGTGCACGTACCGCTGGCGTCGTCGGCTCCTTCAAGAACTAGAACCATCGCATGGCATACCACCGTCATGGAACACTCAGGCAGATACAAGTCGACTCGATTTCCAATACGTACTACAGCAGACTAACGGGGTGATGCTTCAGTTGGTTTACACATGCGGCTCAACAAGCGCCGACACGTGGTGTGCTTGCGCCTCCAAACACTCGCGAGCGACCGACACAATTACGTGGCGAACGACTCCGAGGCCGGAATCGCCCAACACGCCGTTGTCGCGCGCCACGTCCGTCAGCTACCCAACAACCCGTCAGCATTCTGCTGCTTTCCATCCAGGGCAAAACCAATGCTTCGTACCTTCCGCACGATACGCTCGATCACCGTCATCGCCAGCCCATCGGTGGAAGCGTGCGGCTCGTCGACCATGTCGAGCTGAACCACCAACGCGTGCAGGAGATTCGACACACTGCGCCAGCCCCATCGTCTAGTTTCATCGTCAACTTTCAGTTCCACGACAAAGGCTACGAACCGCAGATCGGTCGCAAAATCCGCCGACGACCTGCTTGACAACACGACGATCACCAGCGCCTGAAACAGCGGGATGTGCATGGACCCATCCGTGAATTCTCGACGGACGGGACCCCGCCGAATGTTCATCGTGGCCTCACTCTACGCCATCACACCATCCAACGACTTAGCGCCGCCTCGCTCTCGTTTCAAAACACGCACCAGCCACAACTGGAACTGTCGCGCCGCGGCTCGGGCCCAAACTTTGCAGCGCTTGGGCAAATGCGATGGCGCGGTCTGCACAGAGCACGTTTGAGACCTCTCTTTGGATCAGCGAACTTACGTCGTCGACAAAGCCCAATGCCCTCCGTAACACCCGCCGAAGAGGTACATGAAGCGTTTCCAGGCATTCAGTCGGTAGCTCATGCAACCGATGACGCTCCAAAAGATGCGAGCTGAACACGGACTGGATGTGGGAAAATACCTTCACAGCCACGAGTCACGACGATGTCGCACCAGATCAACATAGATTACTCCTACCAAATCGAGCAGGGCAGAGAGCGGAGTGTCTGCTCCCAGCATCGGCGTCCGGGCATCACTGAAGGATGGGGACGGTTCTGGTTGTGGCTGGACTTGGCTAGGGCCTACCGTGATGGTAGGAGTGATGGCGGCGTCACTGACACGTGGAGCATTTGCGACGGAATTTGGTTGCGCCGACCCTCTCAAAGTGTTGCCCAGAGCTTGTAGCAACGCCATCATGATGTTGATGCCCGATATATTCCCTTGGGTAGATCCGCCGGCCGAGGAGGGGACGAGTTGTATCAAGGATATGGTGGTGGTGGCGTCTTCCGGTGGAGCCAAGGCCGTGGATAGCACGTCGCGGACCGACGGAGCAATCGTTTCAAGTTGACGAAGTAGGTCCACGGCGTCAGTGATACTTTGCGTCAAGGCCGAATCGTCGCCAACGCCGCGCCCTGCTTCGATAGTTTGCACGAGCATCGACACCTGGCGTGCTAGAACCAGAAGAGCATTGCTAAATGCACTCAAACTTGACGCCAGTGGTGAATGGGATAGCGAAGTTGTGGCCTCGGAGAGGCGTTCGGCAGCTTGACGGAGACCCGTGGCTTGAACGAGTAGCTCATCGATACGGTGGCGGGGTAATCGACGAATACCGGGCCGGGACCACACAATTGTTGATATCGGGGCAGATTCCTCCATTGCAAGCATATCGACGGGCGCTGAGGGTACCACGACGAGAGAGGTGCCGGGCTGGGCGTCCTCGGTGGCGTTGCTCGCGGTTGGGTCGGGAACACTGTTTGTTGGGGTGGCGAGTGTTGTTATGGTGATCGGTCGTGGCGGAGTTACCACCACGTGTACCGTGTCGCCGTCCTTGAAGTTGTAGTCGTGAAGATGCATGTTATCTCTGAGGACCTTGCCTTTGTAAATCAGTCGCTGCGTCGCGGCGGCGGTGCCTTTAACTTCACATATTTGAGCCTTCAATGCATCAATGCGGATGCCGCGCTCCACCGTCATCCCGATTGCAACCTCGTCGATGAACTTGAGGTTCACTCGCATCACAGCGGACGTTTCTGCGCCCTCGTCGGCCATTGCGTGCACTCCCTCCTCCATGCTGTCGCACGCACAAGTCGCAAAATGGCATCCTTCTTCCGTTGTCCGGATAAACATTGTCACGTTCTGGAAATGTCCTGTCGTGCTTCGAACGTTCTTTATCACGTTGTGTTTCAAAATGTTTTTAAAATATTCCAAACACAGCCTATGAAGCACCATACATCCTCGATAGAATGCAGATGTATACATGTAGGCATCGCAACGTAGAGTCGAGTTGGCCGTGGTACGCGCTCGCAACCTTGTGACGTGCGCGAGATCTGGCCATCGGGTTCTGAGCCAAGAGGTCGTACATAGTATTTAAAACTCATTTGAAACGTTCATACAACGTTTCAAATGTGTATATCCGGATTGATTTCGCCGTGGACTGGCGCTCTGCGCAACGGCGATTCCGCCATTCCTGCAGTGTCATCGCAGTGGAGGCTCTGTGCAGGTGCTGTGTAGACACTTCAGCGAGCTGGCTGCCGTGTGCCCACCTCGCGAACACAGCGACAAGGCCTCCACAGAGATCCCTCGAGCCATTCTACTGTCGCCTATGAGGCTTTTTCGGCGACATGTTCTGCCCATGGAGTCGGGTCCGCGCGGTAGCACTGCCCATGCAACCGACTCCGACAAAGTACACTACTGCTTTTCATATTCAACTTGATGTGCTAGACGGACTTTTTGTCTTCGGGACGCAATGTGGTCGCAGGAGATGTCGACAACGATGGAGCACCGGCCTCCGTGTCCAAGCTGCCGAGGTTGATCATGGACGGCGTCTTGTGCGCTCGGAGGAATCCGTTAAATTCTTGTTCTGTCGTGATCGTTGGTGTTTCCGGGACTGGCTCTTCCTCCTCGACATCGCCCTTGGCTCGACGCGCATGCATGTACGCCGACCAGTCGATTGGCGACGGATCCGTCAACGGACCGAGGATCGGGGCGTACTTTTTGACAAACATGCGCACTTCCATTTGCAACCGTGCGCGCCGTTGCGGCAGTTCGTCCTGAATCTTGCGGTATTTGGGCTGCAGGCGGTAAAACAGTGGGCGCAACGTCTTGAGCTCGATGATGCCGGCTTCGACCTACCGTCGTCGTGAACGATGCCAGATCGCAAGAATGACGTACCGAGCGCACGCCAAAGTACGAAAAGAGCGGGAACGACGCCGTGAGAAGGAAGATGCTGCTCCAGCGCCAGTTCGTCAGGAGAATTGCCAGGAGTGTGTAGAAGAGCCAGAGGGTCGGGACAGCCACCATCGAGAACGAGATCTTCTTGGACAGAATCACGTCCCGCGCGGCAATCTTGACATTCGACCCCGCCAACGCCTTGGTCTGCTCGGCGCGCGCAACGTATCGCGCAACGAGACCGACCGGCGCGTTCAGCACAAACGACGGAATCGATGCCAAGCCAAATATGACGACGCCGTAGATGGCCGACGCGAGCACATCGTGGACGCTCCACCACGCAATGTGAGGCACCTGGTGGTCCTTCAGGCCCATCAGGTTGAGGCTCTTGCGGTACTCGTCCAGCTTGAGCGCCAGTTGAGTCAAGTCCTCCTGAGCGGTCTGTGCGTCCTTTAGAATCTTGTACGCTTCCGCGAACCGTCGATTCAGGTCCTGCGTGTCCTTGGGTGTGAGCTTGACTCCCGATGGCTGCCACAGACGGCGCGCCGTGTACACGAGCTGAAGCACGTTGTAGTCGGGCGCGGTCACGATCACGCTGCGCATGCCTTCTTCGACGGCAGTCAGGAACGCGTTGCACGCCTTTCGCTTGTCGGCCTTGTACTCGTCCATGGCTTCGTTCGTGACAGCGATCGGTTCACCAAACTCGATGACGACGCGACCGCGAAAGCGGTGGCCACGGAAGTAGTTGAGGCCCACCGGCACGACTGGTACCGTGATGTGGTATCGATCCTTGGCCCCAAACGCCATGAGCGCCACGCCCGCTTTGAGCGGCAACAGGTCCGTGCGGTCGTGCGACCCGCCTTCCGGGAAAATGCCGACGCATTCACCACGCTTGAGAGCCGTGTACACTTCGGTAAACGTCGTGCTCTGGTCAATCTTCTTGAACACGCCGAATTCGGTCGGTTTGGCCGACGTGACGACGGCGCCGGAGCGGTCTAGAAGCGGCGAAGCTAACACGGCGTGGGTGTCGTCCACTACGTTTTCGACCTTGACGGGAGCCCCCGACTCTTTGACAATCTTGCCATTTGCACGGACTTGATCGCCGGGAGCGACGTCGCGAGTGAACGAAGTGCCTTCACCGACAAGGACAAACGAGTTGTCGTCGGCGGAGGACGACTCCATGTAGACTCGACCAACGCCTACCACGACAGCGTCCTGTGGCCGAACAATAGGAAGACATCCCATCGCTTTGGCGATGTGGCCGACTACAGGAAGTCTCATGGATTTTTCAGCGGTGAGAAACCCAACCTAGGAATGGACGAACGTTGATGGAGAACAGACACCGATGCAGATGAGGAAAGGAACTCACCTTGCGGAATGAGTTCATCATGACCACAATACCGTCGACGAACTGATTGGTGTGGTTCCCCGTGAAGATGACAGGACCATCGCGGGGGATATTGTCCTTGCCGACAATTTCAATGCTTTTGAAGAAGATCGAGAGCACGCTGTTGAGGAAAATGCGCACGCAAAAGTAGATCACGTCCGACAGGTTGTGGTATAGCACTCCCAACAGGACAACAAAGTTGAGTAGCCCGAACAAGTTGCTGTCCAAATCGAGGAAGCTCGAGATCGCCTTGACAGGACTGCAGTACATTTTGATCAGCATATTGTTGACGCGGTCAAAGTTTCACGAGGGACGACGTACTTGAGGGCGTCCACGGAGAGCATCATGAGGAGCCATAGGACTGTCACTTGAACAGAGAAGTCGTTCAACCCACCCATTCTTCCGTCGCCGTCACCGATGGCTTTGGACCTTCCACGGAGAAGTTTGAAGTGACGCCACCCTATTTCAATTCCCGCAGCGCAGGGAAGATTCCTCGTTTCCAGGAATTCAGCTCCATGGAAATTTTCTGAAATCACGAAAGAATCTAAAATCCCTTCCCATTTTTGTTGACATCGTTGTCAAATGTATGAAATTTCCTGGCCCTAGAGTGGGGAAACAATCGTGACCCATTCCACATTTCCAAAATGGTTAGGAAGTTTCCCAGTGGAATGAAAATTCCCCAACCCTATCTCCCAACTACCAATCAAAATCGCGTTGAAGAAGGGCACAAAAAGCCGCGTCCAGCACGATCTGCACGGAGGGCAGCGGCGGCGGCGGCGCCGTCCACACCACATCCAACATCCATCGCAGCGAAACACGCAATATGGTGTTACAAGCACGCTTCTTTGCCTTAAGCGAATCTCATGCCACAGAATTTCGATTCGCGCTGTTGACGATCGATGTGTCTGTACGCTCGATGAGTTTGACTTGCTTCCTTCGACACAACGGACAGGAACATGTTGACAAAACAGTGGTCGGCATCCAGCATCCTGCCCTCACCCATGTCGCGTCGCGGCGCCACGATGATAGAACTGCGCATGCGCTTGCTCGGCACGTCCATGTCTATCGCCCTTATACATTCAGTTGGTCTTTAGTACAGCTTAGACCGTTTTCTTGCCATCTTTGGCATCCTGGCTCGGCGTGCGCTGCCTCACCGCTGGTGCGTCGTGTTCATCGTCGTGCTTGACGTGGGTATGCATGAATTCAGCCCAATCGACGGGGGCGGGGTCTGCGAGGGGTCCGAGCTGCGCTGCATATTTTTTGACAAACTTTCGAACGTCCTTCTGGAGCTGCATGCGGCGGACGGGCAGTTCGTCCTGGATACGCTTGTACTCGGGTCGCAATCGATTGAGCAGAGGACGAAGAGTTCGCAGTTCGATGATGCCAGCTTCCACGCTGCGCACGCCAAAGTATGAAAAGAGCGGGAATGACATCGTGAGGCGGAGAATCGTCGACGTTTTCCAGTCAGTGAGCACGAACAGGAGGAACGTGTAAAAGAGCCAGAGGACTGGGACGGCAACGACCGAGAACGAGATCTTCTTGGACAGGACGACGTCGCGCGCAGCAATTTTGACACTCGATCCAGCCAGGGCCTTGGATTGTTCAGCGGCGGCTACATATCGCGCAAGGAGCCCGACCGGGGCGTTCAACACAAACGACGGAATTGACGCGAGTGCAAAGATGATGAGACCGTATGTGGCCGACGCTAAGACGTCGTGGAGTGTGAGGAAGGCCACGTAGGGCACCTGGTGGTCCGCCAGCCCGAGCTGCTTGAGTGTGCGGCGGTAGTCGGTGATTTTAGCGTTCAAATCTGCTACGTCTTCCTTCGCTTCGGGGAGTGCGTTGAGGATCCGATAGCCATGGGCGAAGCGTCGGTTCAAGTCTTGTGTCGCCTTGGGGCTGTACTTGATGCCAGATTGCTGGAACAGCCGACGCGCGGCATACACGCCCTGGAGGACGTTGTGGTCAGGTGTCGTCACAATCACACTGCGCATGCCGTCTTGGACTTCGTTTAGGAGCGAATTGCACGCCTTGCGCTTGTCCTGGTGGTAAGCGTCGAGCTTCTCGGCGGTGACCGAGATTGGAGCGCCAAACTCGACGACCACGCGGCCGCGAAACTTGTGGCCACGAAAGTAATTGAGCCCGACGGGGACAATGGGCACGGTCAAGTTGTGGCTTTCCTTCGCGGCAAACGCCATGAGCGCAACGCCAGCCTTGAGTGGCAAGAGGTCAGTGCGGTCGTGGGACCCGCCCTCAGGGAAGATCCCAACGCACTGGCCATGCTGCAACGCAGTATTGACCTCTGAGAACGATGCCTTTTGGTCGATCTTTTTGAAGATGCCGAATGACACGGGGACCACAATGGGTTCTCCGTAGACGTCGAGCAAGGGCGACGACAGAACGACGTGCGTATCGTCAATCACCTTTTCTACTTTGACCGGTTCGCTTGACTCTTTCACGGTCTTGCCGCTCGCGCGGACTTGATCGCCTGGACCAAGCTGCACTGTGAAATGCGTGTCAAGACCCACGAGCACATTTCGGTTGCCAGGCGTCGGTTCCATCGACACAACTCCTTTCCCCTTGATAACTTCGTCTTGGGGGCGAGTGAACGGAATGCAACCCACAGCCTTGGCGAGTGTGCCAATGACTGGGCGATGCATGGACTTTTCAGCAATGATGAACCCCACCTTGGCGTGCCCAAGTTAAACAAGGCGCCGTGAAAAGGGTGACACGATACCTTTCGGTAGCAGTTCATGAGCACAATCATGCCGTCGACGAATTGATTGGAATGATTGCCCGTGAAAATGACAGGTCCATCGAGGGGAATGTTGTCTTTCCCAACGATTTCGATGCTCTTGAAGAAGATCGAGATGATGCTCGTCAAAAACACGCGGATGCCAAAGTAGAGGACATCCGACATATTGTTGTAGAGTAGTCCGAGGAGAAGCAAGACGTGAAGCCAACCCACAACCGATGGGTCAATACCCACGACGGAACACACAGCTTTCACCGGGCTACAACGCAAGCACGATTATCACGACAGGGTCGCAATCACACGTACTTGACAACGTCCATGGAGAGCATGATCATGAGCACGATCGCAATGACCTGATGATGGAGATCGTTCAAGCCAAACATATTAACGGAGTCAGCGTGCGCCGCGTCAAGGGAACGTCTTGGATGCACCGACCGGCAGAAGTTTGAAAGTGTGAGGAATTTCCTCATACTGTAAGACGCTGCGAAAAGATCGACTTGGTATCCGGAGTACTCCGGATAAAAAATGCCATAATAAGGTTCAAAATGTTTCTTGGTTGATGGAATGGTTGTGCCAGAGATCGATCCGGGGTGCCAACCACGAGCAAGAGTCCGCATGGTATCCTGCGGGGATTTCACAAGGAGGATGGTGCTCACGAAAACATGCTGCGCGTCACGAGCTAGCCTTCCGAAGGCGGCGCGAAGCGCGCAAGGATGAGACAGTCGTCGCATGGTGTTCGGTTGACGAAACGATATCTGGTCAACCTGCGAAGACACGTTGACATGTTGGTAGCGCCCAGCTTCATGGATGGCATGCGGCAGCAAAGGATCGGCACACTTTGGAACATGCTGAAGATGAGCGCAGAGCTGGTGCTGTGCGTCAGGGAACTGAGCCCTCGGGGGCGAGTAATCACGTCTGCTCGGGTAGGTTGCTCACGGCGCAACAGAGGGTATAAAGCGACAGAGGGACCGCGAGGGTCCCATATCCACCTCGAATGACTACGCAGGTCATGTAGGTGGCCTCATGGTCGTCGACGGCGGTCCATCTCGTCGACGGTTGTGTGCGTTATCCATGTACCTATATATAGCGATGGCATGGAAAGGTGGTTTCGGTGTGTGCGTTCGGGACTGCACGAGGCAGGGGGGATCATGGACGAAGACATCAAGTGGGTTGACACGGTCATCACCAAGCTCCTGCGCGTCCAGGACAAGCCGGCTCAGACCGAAGTGACGGACCTCGACATTGACGAGATCAACGCGCTGTGCCGGTGCTGCCGTTCGGTACGTTGGCCGGCCGCAACGGCATCCCGCACCACGTCTGTCACGTGGATCGATGGGACTAGATCTTTCTGTGCCAGCCCATGCTGCTGGAACTGAATGCGCCGATCATCATCTGCGGCGACACGCACGGTCAGTACGCAGACCTCCTCCGGTTGTTTGAAATTGGCGGGTTCCCCGACGACAAGAACTACCTCTTTCTCGGCGACTACGTCGACCGCGCCATGCAAAGCATTGAGACCATCTGCCTCCTCTTTGCGTACAAGGTCAAGTACCCCACGCGGATGTCTCTCCTGCGCGGCAACCACGAGTGCGCGTCGATCAACCGGATATATGGTACACCCTCGATCCATGTCGAGAGACCGGTGCATGTCATGAACACCGCAGGGTTTTACGACGAATGCAAGCGCCGGTACAATGTCAAGCTGTGGCGCACATTCGCCGACTGCTTCAATTGCATGCCCGTGGCGGCCATCGTGGCCGATAAGGTACATTGGATTTCGTCGCTGCCCCGTGGCGACACGCTGAACCGGCGGCGATAGATCTTTTGCATGCATGGTGGGCTCTCCCCTGACTTGTACAAGATGGACCAAATCAAGAACATTCGCCGGCCCACAGACATCCCGGACGAAGGGCTACTCTGCGACCTCTTGTGGGCCGACCCTGACGCCGAGAGCCACGGGTGGACAGAGAGCGATCGCGGCGTGTCGTACATATTTGGTGCGGACGTCGTCGAGCAATTCCTGGAAACGCACGATTTGGACCTTGTTTGCCGCGCGCATCAAGTACGCATCCTCGTCCACCGATGCATCGATAGGAACGCGCTTTGATCGCATGTGCGTGCACAGGTCGTGTCGGACGGGTACGAGTTCTTTGCTGGTCGGAAACTCGTCACGATTTTTTCCGCCCCCAACTACTGCAACGAATTCGACAACGCCGGCGGCATGCTCGTCGTCGACGACAAGCTCACGTGCTCCTTCAAAGTGCTGTGCTCGCAAGAAGGATGATGATGGTGTCGCCACGATCGAGTGTAGTCCTCCTTACATGTGTCGACCACGTTGGAAAATATCAAACTGTGTTGCTTGGACACTTCTACCAGCCATCCATGTGCGTTGGCTCGTACGACCGACCCACGCGGTGCACATTGCATGCGTCGAACAGTCCCGTGCGACCATTCGTTGGTTCGGCCGACACATGCAATGCCAATATTGCATTTTCAAGCATAGTCTACCTTGTGCGTCTACGAGTAGTAATGAGGAGAGATCAAGATATCCTGAATCGCTTCCAGCTGCGTCGGCGTAAACGCGGCCTTGTCTTGATGCCAGCTGTCTTGATGGGTCCGCTTGAACTCGAGCAGGACGGACTTGACGATTTCTGACATGTACGACACCCCACGGCCGGTCAAGTGCAAGTGGAATGACAGCTCCTCGAGAACTGCCGGCACAAACGGCGGCACAGAGTACGGGTACGCCAACACGACCGCGCCCATGCCAAAGCATCCCTGGACGGTTTGAACATCGCGCGTAGAGTCGTCTTCTTCCTGAAGTGCGTGAAGCTTCTTGATTGAGTCGTCTCGCTCGGGTCCGTTGCGTTCGATGAGGATGCGGTGGCGCTTGACCTGCTTCTCCTTCTTCACGCGCGCCTTCCGGGCGGTGGCGGCCGCGTTCAGGAAGGAAGTGGCGAGGGCGGCAACGGCGCTGTCGTCGAGAGTTCGCACAAAACTTCGTAGCGCGTACTGGGCGATTTCTTGAACGTCACGCTTGTCGTCCATGAAGCGCGAGATTAGCATTGCTTGAATCCGCGGCTTGGACCACTGCAGCAACCCATGGTGAAAGTTGAGCACCGTGACGAAACGCAGCGCGGCGCCACGGGACCGCCACGACGGCGACGAGAGCGCCGCTTCCAGCACGTCCACGACGCGTGTATACGTGTCTTCATCTGACAGCCGGAGCTTGTTCGAAAGCGTATCCACGACGGCGCGGGCCGATCGCGCCACGTCCGGTTCTGGGTACGATTGCGTGTCAAACACGACGGGAAAGAGCGCCAAGAGAGGCGAGAAGTGCATCGAATCGCCCTTGTGAATGTACGTGGCGATCAGGTTGAGCAGCGATTTGCGAGCGTTCAATTCTGCTTCGACAACGACCGTCGCGTCAAAGGAAATACCTTCTACGAGATGGCGCAATGCAGCCTCGGTCGGTTGCGCGAGAAGAGACAGCTTGTACAGAACGGCACCCACTTGCTCGCGAACTGATTCGTACGGATGCGAGAGTCCAAGGCGGGCAACGGTGTGGACGCGAGCCACAATGGAACCTGTCGCGAGCAACGGGTTCAACAGCAATGGCTGCACCAACACTAGCCACCGAACTTGGTTCAATCCGTCGTGGTTCGCCGACGCAGCATCTTGGAACGCCAGCTCCAATTGGCTCACGACGTACTCGACGAGGCCTTCGAGGGATGCGCCGTGGCGTGTGAGAATCAGCACGACGTCGTACCAGTCTTGGGCATACGGCACGCTTAGCTTGGGCAAGATGGTCTGCAACCACGGGAGGACTGCAAACGACGGGGTCGTCGTTGCAATGCCTACAAGGATCTCTCCGACGGTGCACAGCGACGCGCGGCGTTCATCGGTCGCATCCGCCAATAACGTGTCGATTCCAGGTGTCCACCGCGCTGCAAGGTCGATGTTTCGGCCAGCAGCTTGTCGTGCCAAGCGCTGGACGAGTGCAACATGATGTAAGTTGATGTTTTCACTCGACAGCTGTCCAAATGACAAGGCAAACGGGGGAAATCGCTCTTGTTCCACAAGTTGGAACAGCTCGCCCACGCCGAGGGACCATCGCGCGGGGGAATTGTCGGTACTTTGGCCGTCAGCGGACCGTGCAGAGCTCTTATGGTTTGCGACCATATCTTTCGCGAGGGTTTGGAGCGTCTCAGGGGCAAATACCAAGTCTGGCACTGGTCCGTTGGTGGACAGCGCCGCATGGGCTTTCAACAGGCGGGAGAGCAGGATCCGACCAAAGTGTTGCAATTGGGGGACGTCGCTGCTGATTCCGCGCAGGACGACATGCCAAACTGGCGTCGGCAATGTGGTGTCTGTACGAATCCATGGCAAAAAGCATGCAAGAAACATGAGTTGATGACGCCAATGCGACTGCATTTGCGGTTCCAGCGCAAGCAACGGGTCCAAACTGACGCCTTCGATCCCTTTGGTGTCCCGGAGCGTGTGGAGTAACAGGAAAAACACCTTCAACGCCCGCGTCTGGGTTTTGATTTGATCGTCGGGACTGGACAGTCGCGCCTTCGGCTCGCTCGCGTGACACAGTGCAACCATGAGCGCTTGAACAGTCGTCCACTTCTTCCACACAGTATGCAGCGACCGGCCGAGCTGGAGCACATGCAGCGCGCCAGTCACGTGGTCTTTCTCGGTCGATGTGCGCACGACACCCACGAGGAACGGGAGTTGCGTCTCAAGCCATGGGCTGTATCGCTTGAGCATGCCGTCCAAGCTGGCCTGCGCTGCCTGGCGCGTTTTTGAGTCGTTGACGAGGCTCAACTGGAGCAGATCGGTTAAGCTCGTTGAGACCACCTCCGTGTACAAGCCGGGGGTGACAAACCACTCGGGGTGAGTTCGAATCGCGCGGCTCCACTGGAAGCTGCGGTAGGACAAGAATTCCGAATACAGGGCTAGGACACGGTCTTGCATCATTCGTCGAGGCCAGAGGGGAATCGACGACGCCGTCTTGGGTTTCTTCCAGTGAAGACCCGCCGATGCAACATCTCGCGCGCTCAGTTTGCGCCATTTGGCATGAATTTGGCTGTTGGAGGGCTGGGTCGCGTCGCTTGGGTGGAGCAGCCGGGTCAGGATGCGTATGACATAGCGAAGACTCTGAGTGCGGATGGGATCACCCGCCTGGAGCTCCTTCGCCGTCCAGTATGCTTGAACGTGATGGAGTGTCTGTAGCAGCGTCACTCGCAGAGACAAGAAGACGTCGGCAACGTCCGGATGGCTTGCCAGAGTCGACTCGATGAATTCGATCGGCTGGCGTAGCATCGGCGATGGGCCGTCGACGGTACTTAATCGATCCAGCAACACGTTCTTGGCCCCTCGCACGGCGTGCAAAATCCCTCGAAGTGCCCCGCGCCAAGCCCTGGCGTTATCTTTGGCTGAACCGCCCGCCATTAAGTCGGATAAAACAGTCAAAGCGTCCACGACATAAGTCTGGAGCAATTCGGCCGCAAACACGAGCTCTGATTCGGACGGCTCGTGCCACACAATGTCAACGTTGCCCCACGATGTGGTCAAGCCCACATACACGGTTGAGAGCCCGCCGTTGTCGACTCCGTCCGTCCAAGCTGCAGGAGGCAACGACCTCGAGTGGTCGGGCTGGTATGTACCCGTGAGTCGGCCAAGCAAGTGGCGGAGAATCTTGCACCCCAACTTTACAACTTTCGCATTTGCATGGGCGCTTGTGACGGACAGGACTTTGCGAATCGCGGCGCTGTGTGGCATCAAGTGGGTACCAGACGCGCGCGCGACGACTCCGTCGACGTGGCGCAGTTGCATGAGTAGTTCTTGATCACCAAAAGTCGATTTGGTGATGACGTCAACCGCAGGGAGGAGAATCTTTTGAATGGCCAATTCAGGCGATGGACTTGTTGCGGCGCGGACGAGACCGGCGATTGCTTTGCCTGCATGAGGCAGAAATGACGATTGGAGAAATGTGACAACGCGCTGTAGGGCGAGTTTGTACAGCGGCGGCGACAACTGAACAAACAACTGGTGTAAAACGAGTTGTGTGTGCAGCGCAACTTGAAACGCGTCACTGCCCTTCTTCGAGTCAGACGACGATGCCGCCGCCGGCTTGTCGTGGTTGCGAAACAGCAAGAATAACCTGTCCAAAAGTACGAGAACCCACGACTCGAGTACGGGTCCGGCGCGCCAGAGCGCGTCCGACGTGTCGGAAGACATCACGCGGGGCTCAAACACCTGTGACTGATCCAAGGCGGCAGTTAGCGATGTCGCCACGGCGCTTGGCGAGGCGCGTGAGCGGAGCGTATCGTCGGCCAAGGGAAGGTACATGAGCCACGAGCTGTACAGCTGCAGTGTTCGGCTTGTCTTGCCATCGTCGTTTGGGTCGATACCCGGCAACGTCCACTGCAGCACCAGCGGCAAGTGCTGTTCTGTCCACGAAAGATCTCCGCGGAGGAGTGCTGGCCCACATACCGTGAGTGCTGAGATAGCGCTCGGCGCTTGGTGAGTTTGGTTGAGCGCCGACGGGTCGAGACCCCGTAGAATCTTTTCCACGATGGATGGTGCGAGCGACGGCACGATCGTGATGGCGTTTCGAAAGGTGAAGCTTGCCTTCGACGAGACGCTCTGGCTTTTCGAGTACAAACCGAGGAAGCTCAGGTCCACGAGCTTGGCAACTAGCTCGTCGTGGCCAACTAGCTTTTGACCGCGCGCTTTTTCTCGACCGAGTCGTAGTGACAGAAATGCCGACACGTAGTACACAAAGTCCGATATCCCATTCGCCGCGTTTCCCGCGCTTGATGGGTGATAGAACGGCGTAATGAGACTCAGCAATCGCTGGAGCAACGAGAGCGTGCACTGGGAGTTCTCGAGCAACTCGACTGACAGCTTGGACGCGTAGTACAAGGCCGTTTTGTCACCGTGCCACCCACTTAAAACGGATGGGTACTTTCCCTTGGCAGGCGTCGCACCCAAGTCGGAGGGAAGATGGAACGCTTGTTGAATCTTGGAGAAGATGAAGGGTAGATGGGGGGCCCAGTGGGTGATGTCGAACGTCTGACAGAGCTGCTGGTGCTTGACGACGCGCGCAAAAAGCCGAAGCCAGTGGAAATCCCACTCAGGCTGAGCATTCATGTTCCCCCAGAGATCTATCCAGGTTGAACCGACGAGGGATGCCGCGTCGCCGCCCGCAGGCCAAAGAAGTGACAATTGCGCGGCGGCCTTCAAACTCACTTCTTCGTTGGTTTGAGAAAAGTCAGCAGCAAGGCGGAACCAGAGGGACGCATCCTGGGGATAATACGTGCGAGCTTTTGCGAGAAACTTGACGAGTGTACACTTGTACTGGGTGACGTATTCGTCCGCCGAGTGTTGGATGGGCAGCGGGGACGCGTAGAAGTTGGCTTCCCATTCGTCCAACGGAGTTTCCCAACTGATTTGAGTTTGTATGGGTGCTTCAGGGTGCGCTTTGCGTGTTTTCTTGAGCACCAACATGACAGTATTGAGCGCTTTCACGCGCTTTTCTAGCGCAGGACGAAATTGGAACACGTACTTCACGAGGCCATGGCTAATGTTCACAGACAATGGATGTGAAAGCGTGTACTTGAGTCTGAAATACGTTTCCACCGCGCGAAATTGGTGTCCCGCGACCTTGTCGAATCGACCTTCTTGTAGCAACGCCTCGAGTTCCTATGGGAAGACGTGTCGTCACTGGCGATTCTTCTCGCATAGTTGCCTGTCGCTGCGTACCTGAATGTCATGGAGAAGGACTTGTCCTTCCCCGTCGACTTTGCTGCGCACAGTGGTCGGCACCAACGAAGCGTACACGTGCATGACAGCGAATGTTCCACAGCCGGGCGAAATGTGAAAATGCGGAACGTGTCATTTCATCGATTCTTGAGGATTTTTTTTTAAGAATCCTTTTATCCAGGAATGATGGTTTTTCCAAACACTTTCCCATTGATGACGGGGGTCTCGATCGCGTCAGCACCCCAGAAACCAACATTAGCAATCCAATCTGCAAGAGAAATCGTCTCTGTCTTCCATGGATAGCGGAATGCAGGTCATATTAAAAACACAGGGGTTAAGGTTTTCATTGGTTGTTTGCATCAATACAAACTTCAAGTGAAAAGTAGTTCGCACCAAAGCCTCTCAATTTGAACATGAAACCGTTGTGTATGTACGGGAAATTTATCCGGAATTCATCGCTTTCGACGTCGATGGGATTCCTCGGCACCCTTCGGTCGTCGCTGCAGCGGCATCCAGGCAAGGTCATTGCATCGCCCAAGGTAGATTGGATTCCTCGACATATGCTCGATGCACACGTAGAAACGCCTCCATGATCTGTAGCGCGCCAGCGTCGCTGCGATATTCCGCCATTCCCCTGTACAACCAGGTTCATCTTCTACTCCTGGTGGGATGAATCGAGGTGACACCATCGATTAGATAAGGTACAGCTTTTATACATTCGGCGCAAGGTAAATCCACACGATACATGGAGCGGCCACATGGCGTTTCCCGGTGGGCGAATGAACGATGGCGAAACAGAACTGGCCGCGGCAATCCGAGAAACCCATGAAGAAATCGGCCTCACCCTGAACGAATCACATGTTGTCGGAAGAATTGATGACCGCCCGGTGTACTATGGACGCACGGTGGCGACTTCTCATGGTGCGCTAGACCCTGCGCTTATTAGTTGGTGACACAAGGCGCGTAGTGTTCCTACTGGGTCACAACGAAGCATTCAACCCCGTGCTGCAAGCGAAGGAAGTGTCCGACGTGCTCTGGGTCGACGTGGACTTTCTCCTGAGCACGCCCATTCAAACGCTTCAAATTCCGACCAAGTACATCTTCCCAAAAATGACAGACATCCCTGACACCATTGGCCAGGTAACTCTACTATATAGCTGTTGGTTTTCACGCTGTTGGCAACAGAGCAAGCGAACCACGCTCGAGAACATGACGCACATCGACTTTCCCTGCATCTACTTGAACCGACCCGATGGGCATGTGCATGAGTATGCCGATGATGCAGCCGCGGCTGCGGCAGTTCGACCTGTGCACGATTTCGTGTTGTGGGGTCTCACGTACAACATGACGTCCGATATTCTCAAGGCGGGCGGACACAATCCGCTACCGTCCATGTCAGCCGCAGTGCGCTCGATTCGTGACGCGATATTCCACGCCGGGCTTGGAAAGAGTAAGTTGTAACACCAGACTCATCCGATGGAAGATGGTCTCCTTCAGCAGATCCGTGTGTGTTGTGTAAACGATTGGCGTCGCTGCGTCTCAAACACAAGTTTGGTGTGAATTTCGATTGGCTCGCATTTCATGCAGCCTGGAGGTGATATCGAGTTGGGCTTCATGGAGAATAGCGCAAGTCGTCGAATGCCCGTGTGCTTCCTGTTCTGGTGCGTCGGAGGCGTTGTTTCGTCCTTGACAGTATTTGAAAGGGTGGACATCCGGATACGCTAGCTAGCGTTTTGGAGATTCCTATATAATCGTGTTAACGTTACAGAGGACCTCGGAAAAATTCACCCCGTGGTACTACAAAATATCTTAAAGTTTGTATTGCTATCAATGGGAATATATTTGGCGTGCAACACTCAAATCTTGTCCAACAATCTTTTTCCTGGGGCGAAGCAAAAGGTGTATTGAATTTTTGGTAAGCAATTTAACCCAATCGTACATGCATATGTCCATTCGATGGATTGTTTAGCACCAATCAGAACTTAAAACGCAAAGTACGGAGGCCATTTTATCCGGATCGAGAAGGGCATGAGATCTTTTCAGAGAAAACTGGCGGAAACGCATCAGCGTAGCAGGAACAGCGATGGAGATGGACGACGACATTGTCGAGATGTGGACGGGCGAGGGAAAAGACAAGATTGTCTTTGACATCATCAAGACGCTACCTGCCGATGAATGCTCGTCGACGTCCAAGCACCTGTCCAACACCCCAACGTGGACAGTGCATCCGGACGCTGCCCAACTTCGCGTTGTCTACCTTGAGGAACATCAAAAGTTGGTGGGCGAAATGAATGCATTGGGTCATGAAGTGGATCGACAGCGACGCGACATGGACATCGAGGAACTGTACATGGATCAGGTACGGCGGCAACCTGTCAAATACAACGAACACGAAGAGTCTGTCCGGGCCCTTCAACAGCGCCTGGACAACAAACGGAGAACGCATAAGGTAGGTGTCATGTGGCAGTGCTCCGAAAGCTCATGGTCTGGGTAGACAGCGCGGATTCGTTTCCTCCAGCTCAAGCGATCAGTGATGTTGCAGCAACGTACGTCACACGAACGTGATTGTCCATCGTGTAACCGAGCTGGTGTAGAATCACAGTTTGCCAACCTTCCTTGTCTGAATGGTACGCTGCAACTAAGACGTCTCTTGGGCCGCGGGGCCTCGTCGGAGGTGTGGCAGGCCTACTGCTTGTCTACCCAGACGCTTCTTGCAGTGAAGCTCGGCAGCAACATCGAATATGCGGCGAATGAGTATGACAACCACAAGGTACGAATGATCACTACATGTAATGCCATCAACCTGTCCATGTTTTAGCTCGTGACGGCGAATTCCAGTCGATATGCAGTTCCCGTGTACTCATTTGCGTTCACCACGTTCGAGCACAAGACGTACGCGATGATGACGATGGAATGCTTGCAGTGCGATTTGGCACATTTCCTTGAGGCACGAGATGCTGGATCTCATCATCTCACGCCGTGCCGTTAGACTCATGGCCCTTGTTCCCCACTCTTGGCACGACACATTCTGCACCAGCTTGCCCTTGCAATGGCATTCATGCACAAGGCACGGCTTGATTCAATTCCACGTCCATGTCTTACGTCGATATGTAGCATAACATGGCCCATGGCGACCTAAAGCCTGGCAACGTGCTGGTGCGAGATACCACCGCCATGACGGTGCAACTGACGGATTTCCACCTGGCGCGGTCCAAATCGGACGCAATTGTCGTCGGTGTGAACGCGTCTCCGTCGTACGCACCGCCTGAGTGGTACCTCATGCAGTCGACGGAGGAAAGCTGCATGGCCAGGACATCGTACGACAAGGCGGATATGTGGGCTCTCGGCGTCATCTTTTACCAGTGTCTGTTTACCCGGCACCCGATGGGGTCCTTCTCGTCCAAGGACGAGCTGAAGCGCAACATGCATCTATACTCGAGTCAGAGCAGCACCAACCAACACCACACGCTGCACTTTCCGACGCCGATCGCATCGATGGACATGGTGCGATCTGCTTCTCTGTGCACGTCACTCATGACCCTTG